TTAGTTTTAGAACTAGAATCGAATCGAATCAGAACCGAACCAAAACCATAATTTTTTTTTTGTAGAACCAGCTACTTGAAGGGAATTGTATAAATTTGTGATCGTACCATATATTCAAAAAGGTCGTAGCCTCGTCATAATCTTCATGAATGTAACCAAGAATGTCCTTAATATATTCTCTAGATCTCAGCTAAAAATATCTAAGACCTATCTCAAGATTAACATATTTCATCAAAGCCATGCATGAACCTAGCCACTTTCCATTTGTCACTTGGGCACACCTTGAAAAGGAAATATAAGATGTGAACATGGTTTCATTTGGTTCTAGTTCCAAGAGAATCAAACCATGAATCAATGGTTTTTTTGATAATGAAACCACAGTTTTTTTTTAAATATAGAACCAAACCTGAATCGAACCAATCGGTTTGGTTCGGTTCGGTTCAATTCTAATTTTATTACTAATTGAGAAAAAAAAAAGAACATTTGAGGAAGAAGAACTGAACGTTGATGCTTCAATTTCAGAAGTCTATGCAATGATGGTGGCTAAACGCTACAATAGGCGGCATGCGATAGTTGTTGGTCTCCGTGTGAGAGTCAATGTATAAATTGAAAAGAAGAGAAACTGATAAATGAATTAGGATTTGTGTCTCCAAAATGAATTAGGATCTCTAGTCTTCTTATTGAGAAATGAGAAACCAAAGGTATATGATCTTTTTGTCTTGATTTTGAATTGAATTTTGAATTTTTTTTTGTAGGATTTGTGATTCACTCATTTGTAAAAAAAAAAAAAAAAAAAAAAAATAATAATAATAATAATAATAAAATTTTAATATTGAATTTGGTTCTTAGTTTTAGAACTAGAATCGAATCAGAATCGAACCAAAACCATAATTTTTTTTTTTGTAGAATCGAACCGCACGGTTTGATTTGGTTCGGGTTTGTTTTGGTAATTTACCCACCTATGGGAAATATATCAAAATTCAAACAAGAATCAATCTGTGATTCTATCTAGGAGTTTTGCTATATGCATATCTGGGGTGTCAACCCCGAATAACAGCCCTCACAAGAGAAAGACTCGTGATTTTTTTTATTTCGCACAGTCCCCTCATCCGTGGTGTTAACTCCAGATGTACAAACAGTAAAACCCTTTGTCTAGTAATTCAGTTTAGACCATATATTTAATTTTATTTGATTGACAACTAGAGTTTAGAAATTTGTCATTATGGTTCATTAAGTCCATGTTTGGTACAGGGTTTTTAAAATTCATTTTTCTTCGAATCAATTTTCAATCACATGTTCTTTTAATAAAATAATTTTGTACGTGGATCTATAACTTTTCTTACTTTTTAATCATATCTTCTTAGGTTAAATTCACAAGTGACCACCTAACTTCATACTTAGTGTCACATTGGTCACCCAATTTCATTTGGTTTCATCTTGATCACCGAACCTCATACTTAATGTAACATTGACCACCCAATTTGATTTTATTTCACTATAGCCATCAACTTCATACTTAGTTTCATTCAAGTCACCCAATAATTTTATTTAACATAATCAAATTGGATGTCCAATGTAACACTAAATCCTTGTTTGATCCTCATAATTTACAAAATTCATTTTTCTTTATCTTCTTTTCAACCATACATTTTTCAATAAAATAATATTATACCCAAACCAAATTTTTTTTTTTCTATTTTTTAACCACGAATTTTTGATTTAACCCCATCTTCTTCAATAATCTGTTATCAAAAAATTTACATCAAACATGTCATTGGTCTAATTATAGGTGCAAGTCCATTTTTTTTTGGTTATTGTCCAACGGTCTTATTGGCCAATTATTTGTATAAATTAATATCTACTCAGACACCTCTTTTTTACCAAAATGTTCGTGCAATCGACTCCATAGGCTGAGGGTCCACCGATCTTTAGTCATGCAACCTCCAAGTTCCATGTGATGTAATCTATATTAGGAATGAATATTTTCTTCAAATATAGTTCTTTCCTTACTTCCACTCTCAAAATTTATCATGCTACCCGATTCTTCATTATCCATCTTCTCAAATGTGGGAAAAATCTCGAAAAAACTCCACGCACCAATTCATCCATGGCGTGCCTTAACCTGACATTAATCTTTACAGTACGAGTCTTAATATGGTGTAGGATCTCAGGTAGTGGCGGGGCCAAAGGGGACAAAAAATATTTATTTTCCTTAGAAAAAAAAATTCCTTACAATTTTAGTGGGGACAGATTCGCCCCTGATCATTCCACTCCCAAACAAGCCCTTATATAAATTTGTAGAACCTGATTTTTTGTAATTTTTAATGTGGTCCCTGTATTTTCTAGATTCAGCAAATTGGTTCTTGAAATTTCTACATTCTACAATTCTGCTCCGCATTACTGGAAGTTATAAATTGATGCTTGAATTTTCTTTTTTTGCAAAGAAGTCCCTGGCTATTCAATTTCTTGTGATTTAGTCCTTGAAATTTCTATTGTCTGTAATTTAGCCTCTAAAATTTCTGAATTCTTCATCTTTCTTTACTCCTTAGTCTTCCGGATTCTTCCCCTTCTTTATCCTTATTTTGTTCCCTGTTCTTCTCAAAAGAATTTGGCATAAAACATGGCTTAGGGTTGGAAAGAAAATTAATTCCCCTAGGTTCAAGTAAAAATTAGGTTTTTAGTAGATTTTGATAAAAAAAAAATTGATCAAATCTGT